CCTCCTGGCAATAAGGGGAATGCCACTCGCCCAACTCACACCAAGGCAGTTACCTCCACTCTCAGGGAATTAGGATCTCCCCAGGGAACGCGTTTTCCAGCTAAGGGTCCACAAGAAGTCTTGAACAATGAAAAGAGCAAACAGAAAGGCACCGAGGTTAAAATAACTGGCCATTCTCTTCACGCCTGTGAAGCCGAGCAGTGGCGGGGTCTCCTCCTGGTGTGCCGCAGATGGCAGGTTCTGCACCACATGCTTGCTGCCCTAACTCCTAAGCCTTTTGCCCCTTGGATTAGCCAAATATCAGAAGGCAGCCCCAGGCTTTAACGCCTTAACTTTCACACACTAACAAGACACAGCTTTGAGAGTCAGTTTTAGATTTGTACACCTTTGTTCTGAAGACACCGGAAAATGGGACCTACTCTAACTTACAAGAAATGTCAAGTAATTGATGTCATGACTGCAACCTTATACACAGGGTTCAAGACAGTCCTGAACTGAATCTTAGACTCTGTTAACATTATTTAAGGCTAAAATTTATCTGTTTCATGTTGTTATCCTCAGATACGAGGCTCAGTATGATTTTCCTCAAACTGCCATAATTCCACAGTAGGTACAGGCTAAAGGAACTCCATCAACACCACTGGTACAAATATTAGGCTGGGATTGATAAAGTAGGGTGAGCAAAGTAGGGTGAGCCACCGGGAGGCAGTGACGTGGGTTCTCCCCACAGCTTTTTTCTTAAAAAAAAAAAAAAAAAACATAAAAACTGTCACCTGCGAAACTTGTGGAGAGGTTAATGATCAGTAAAACTTTCATGCAATAACTTTCTCTAGTCTCTAAGAGCAGAAGGTCCAACAAGGAACAGACTCTCCCTGGCTCCATGCCCACAGGCCCGTGCAGGGCACCCCAGCCTCACCAGACAACGCTCCTCGATCCTCAGCATCGCTGTCACTGTCCACAATGTCATTATGTTTCTCGATGTCTGCCAAAGACTGGCCATAATGAGTCAATTCTTCATCTTCATTTAGATTGTAGATGCTTTTTTTCTCATGATGTCGCTGACAGAAGAGAAAAAAAAGGTTTCCTAAAATTACCACTTCCATTTCACAGCAAAAAAAAAGATATATATACATATATTTCCATTATATTTGAAATACGACCATGAATCCTAAGCAGCCTTAAAGAGTATTCTGGGTCAACTAAGCAATGATTCATTATTTAGACAGAAACGGAACTCATGGAGGGGAATTCTTTTTTTTTTTTTTGAGATAGAGTCTCGCTCTGTTGCCCAGACTGGAGTGCAGTGGCGTGAATTGGGCTCACTGCAACCTCTGACTCCCTGGTTCAAGCAATTCTCCTGCCTCAGCCTCCTGAGTAGCTGGGATTATAGGCATGTGCCACCATGCCTGGCTAATTTTTGTATTTTTAGTAGAGACGGGGTTTCATCATGTTGGCCAGGATGGTCTTGATCTCCTGACCTCGTGATCCACCTGCCTCAGCCTCCCAAAGTGCTGGGATTACAGGTGCGAACCACCACGCCCGGCCTCATGGAGGGCAATTCTTAAATAAGCCCAGGGCCCAGTTTCCACTCTAGCAATGCTGCTCAGGCCACTTGCTCTCCACCCAATGGAGCTGAAGGCAGCAGCTCAGCTGAGAACTCCTGTGCACACTGCTGCCATGTAGTGGAGTTAAGGGATTTATCCATTCAGCTAACATGTGCAGAAGAAGCTGCTTCTCCTTTGGCCTAGCCAGATAAGGCACAGGAATCAAGGGCTATCCCCTGGACCTTTCAAGTGCCCAGGAACAGGCAGAACGTGCAGAATCAGCCTTCTCCTTGGGCTTGACTTCCCTGTGCAATGTACAGCAAAAACCCTCCTCCAGTTTCTTTCCTTACCTGCTGTTCCAGAGCAAACCTCTTCATCATCTTCTCCTCGGGGCTCATGCTGCTGTTGTATTCTCCGAAGCGTTTATCTCTGAAGACATTGGACTTATCCCTTTCTTTGTACTCCTTTAGTAGAGTCTGTGTACGCTGGAAAACAGGTCAGAAAACAATCTCACAAAAAACTCTTGTGATTTCCACTACAGGGGACATCAGAACAGTGCATACTTTAAAGTTCAGGGCTATGCAGTGATGTCAAAGTTCACACACAAGCTGCTTTCATCCATGATAGGCTTTCTCTACTAGTGACAGAATTCTGAGAAGAGCAAACAACTCTCAGTGATAACGGGGCGATCACTTTCTTTTCCTCTTTAGAGTCTATCGGTGCCAAAAGGAAGGGTAAACAAAAGCACACTAGCCAAGCTCAAGGCATGAACGGCTCCCTCAGCCATAACAGCCGCCTTAAGGTTTAAGGATGTGTGCATTTTACGCCAGAATCATCTGGAAAAGTGGAAATGGGTTTAGACTCTTTCCATCATGGAGGAGGGTACTATTTCCCATCAGAGGTACTCCTAAGAAATGTACAGTTGTGGGTTCACACTAGACACAAGGCCATAAACAAGTTAGCGAGCTCATGGTTTAGGGGCTTCACCTTCGGAAAACCAAAAGGAGCAATATTTTAAATACAAACAGCAAGTATCAAATAATTCGGTTATTTTCCCAGTAGCAACAAAAAAAGACCAAGTTTAATAGTATTCAAAGTTGGCTGTCCTGGAGGTTGAATTCCCGAAAGCAGAGAGAGGACAGAGGTGAGTGAGGAATGAGTGGCCTCTGCAACCCGAGATGGCCACACTGCAAACTCTTTTCTGCCGCAGAACTTCTGTTTGCTAAGGAACTGCCATTACAGTGGTGTTTACACAGCAATTCCGAAAGGAAATGGCACCAAGGCAAAATCTTGACGCAATGGAAGGCCCTTGGAATGATCCAATTCAGTGGTTTTACAAACCCACCACAAATTGGTGCCTCGGCAGACACTCGAAACCTCTGATCTAACCCCAGACCTAAGTGTTCCTTTTCTTCTTCAGGGATTCCTCTAATTTGTGAAGTCAC